CAGATTCTCTTCGTTGACTTTCTCTTTGCATTTCCACGGCCATGTATATACACCTGTTTTCAACACACAGCTCGACAAAAGAAGCTATTATCTAGCATCTAATACGGCAAACATGGCAAGAAACGGTTTTGTAGCCAAGTTATTACCGAAAGAGAAAGTCGATGAAGAGAATCGATCAATGTTCCTTGGGAGCTAATCGATTGATCGGCTTGATTTGTTTTGCTGAGATTCTCGGCAAAAAATGACAACTGTAAAATTTAGGTTTGCCTAAATCGCTGGCAAACTTATTTGATGCAGTATAATCAGTATAGCTGAAACACCCAAAATACGAAATCTTTCGTTTAAGGCTAGTTTTAAAATTTTCAATCGGGGGTACTTTTTGGGCTTCAATGGTCGAGTGAGTTAATTTTTTTTACGCGATTTACACTGGAAACGAAATAAAAATTAAAATTGCACTAGACCCCTGATAGAACTTTTCCATACTAGTCTCATGCGAAAGGGGTGACCCTAAAAATTCGTTCGGTGGGTGTTTAAGGGATACTGATTTTTTCTTTACATGGTTTTCTTCCAGAGACACCGTGATTTAACTAATATCGATTAAATATTTAACTAATATCGATTAAATATTTATCTACTATCGAATAAATCTTTAACTAATATCGATTAAATATTTAAGCCATTCGATAAGCAAAACGATATAGTGGTTCTCACAATTTCGTGACAATTGATAGTTTTGTTTCTTATCGCAAAATATTAGGCACACATATTTTTTTTGCCATTAGGGTAACCATTTCCATGTTAGATTGGTAAGTCGATTTTTGCGTAATTTTCACATATATTCCGTGTTTTATTTGCATCTTGTCTACTCACTTAGAAATAAATAATTTTACACGTGACGGAATCCATCTTTGACATAAAGGATCAGACGTAAACAAATACGTCATGTAAAATTAAGTGCTTCGATACTGAAAAGTTCGTTACTCGACGGAAAGTACGTTTGATTGAGTTGAATTTTGTGTCTGTTAAGACTCAATTTTATGTCAAAATTGACGCTCGTATATGTCAATCTCGGAGCACCTAAATTTACAAGATTTTTTCTAAGTGTGTACCTTTATATCAAGCTTGCAAATGCTCATAACAGCTAAAATGCTATTTTTCGGATTTATGAAGCTATAAAATATTTTAATGGTAATTCTTACTGACAAGATGCAAGAAGAGAAGGTAAAGTATTTGTATGATACATAAAACATGTTAATTTAGCTTTCAGAGGGTCACAATAGCGATTAGCTATAACGATGAGTAACGTGATCAGCGAGCAATCAGAGATCATAAAATCGCTAGTTGTGACCATCTGAAAGCAAAATTGATAAATTGTGTATGTCATACACAAACTTTACCACCCATTCTTGCTTCTTACAAATAAAAATTATCATTATAGTATCTCATAGTTTCATGATTAAAAAAATTAGCATTTTAGCTTTAATGAGCAATTACAAGCCTGCTTTATATACAGTGCTGCGCAGTCGTAGCAAGTACAAAAAAAAACGTTCGCTAACTGAAAGGGACTTTTTGATTTTTTGGTAAAAATCGAAACTGTATGTAGCCCTATTATGGCAATTGCCAAAAATAAATAGCGGGCTGACCAATTTTTGCATTTGACCACAGTAAGTTCGATTTTTTTTTTAAATATCCAAACAATCTATAGTTTCATAGCCATCATGATATGTGAAATTTGTCAACGTGCGTACGGCTCCTTGTGAACAGTTTTGAGCGACCGATTGAATTACAGAAGATTAGAAGACATTTCCTCCCTTCGTTTGTTACTGGATGGCTTCATTTATAACTCACTTATGTTTGCAAAATTTTAATATCTATGTTTAGCGGCGCCGGTGGTGTAGTGGTAAGCGTGATTACATCTCAACCCAAAAGGCCTGGGTTCAATCCCAGGTAGCGCCGCCGGGATGTTCTGAGGCATAACATCTCTGATCACGCCTTCCTTCGGAAGGGAAGTAAAGACGTTGGTTCCCGGTTCATGAGTTGATGGGTTGAAAGGTAGGTGTGGGAGTTGCCTCCCTGGTGTCGGTAGCATTGGTGCTCAGCATGGAAAACAAAATAGACGTAAAACAAATCAAGGGAAAAATCTATACTTATGAGTGGTTAGTAATCATTCTTACCCTTTTGATGCCACACAATAAACATTAAATATATGCGTTATTTAGTCAGGAAACTGCAAAATTCTGAACGATACAAATCTGCGTCACCTGCTCCGCTGGTCTCGTCTTTTACACAAAACTGTGATTGTATGTTAATTTCAAATCAAGTCCTCAATTATTGTTTGAAAATCACACAGTATCGCTCATAGGACTTTTGAAGGAATCATCTTTGCTGAAAAAATCCTGAATAAGATCGAACCCTTCTTACAAATATAAGATTTGATATTTCGCATTTGACGCAAGTCAGATACTGGCCACTTAATCTGGGCGCCCAGAACAAGGTTGGGTGTGATTAATGTTCTCCTGAGCACTAAATATGATCGCCAATCGGATTGTTATTGTACCACATGAGAGGTTTCCAGATTCTGACCATTTCTCCGAAGGCATCCAAAACATGTTCAAGTGGCCAATTTTGTCCTGGGCATTCACTATAACGCCTATGGTGGTAAGCTCCAACCGGTTAATCCCGTTGGTTAACACACACACACACACACACACACACACACACACACACACACACACACACACACACACACACACACACACACACACACACACACACACACACACACACACACATACACACACACACACACACACACACACACACACACACACATACACACACACACACACACACACACACACACACATACACACACACACACACACACACACACACACACACACACACGCACACACGCACACACACGCACACACATATATATATATATATATATATACACACACACACACACACACACACACACACACACATACATACACACACACATACACACACACACACACACACACACACACACACACACACACACACAGTACCATAGCATTATCAGATTTAAAAATATGGTTCATTTGCAAAATAAAAGCATTTTAAAAATTCATTCCAATTACCACATCGTGCATAATTTTGAAATCATCATCACTTTGAAAGTTTTTCTGTTTTCCACGGGGGCTAACTTTTATTCATAAAGTTTTCAAAATTGCGAAATAAGCGTCCGGATTTCGTTGATTTACATTTAACGGTGGTAAATTTGTGAATGTGTGAATTTGTGAAGAAATCTGTTACTCATTTCACTTATCAGTATTTCGTTTATCGTTAAACGTTAAAAATTACTCTTGGAGTTGTAAATTATCCGAGAGGTTTTGTTCACATTACATTATTTATATGGAGCATTTTCAGCCCAAAACGCAAACCGGTGTTTCGGCAAATGAGTGTTTCCGATGTGACAATTTCATAAACTTTAAAAACTAACAAAAAATTTAAAAAAAGATAGAGATTTTTTTAAATCAAGCTACCAGCCTAAACCCTTCACCACATTTTATAACATTTTTTCAGTTTTCTTGTTAAAAAAATTATAAAGGGGGGATGCTTTGAGAAAATCAACGTTTACGTTTTTTTAATATTAATCTACTAAGTTTTTTTTATTAAAGTGTATATTTTCCTAAAAGATAATTTAACTGCTTACAACTTATTTTCATACGTAATTTTGATTAGATCAATAGTTTTAATGTTATGATTTTTTTGAAAAAATGTTATCATTTTTTTAAAACCCCTTGTAGAAAAAAATTCTTTAAATGAAAAATGCAAATCATGTGAGCATTGTTTCATTGAACTCGGAAGGGGTCGAGACAAAATTGACATATCTGTTAGCATTTTGGGCTGGTTTCAATGTAAATATTAATTAGCAGTAAATATTAATTAATTAGCTTCCAGTCATTGAAAACATTACCTTATGCATTGTTTTCTTGTAAACACTCGCAAAATCACTCTACATACAGTACATTCATTTTGGCAAAAAAAATGTTTTATGAAATTATGGAATTATAAGATATTATGATAATATTTTAATTGTGTAAGCAACAAGAAAAGATTGTGAAGTTTGTGTTTGACACATAATACCTGCAAATTTGTTGGGAGCTTTCTCAAGCTTCAAGAAATCGATTTTTAGCGATGGGCCCAGACTTAGATCCATAGGCCAGCATTAGAGCCGTTTCCCCTATATATTTTAATACTTGGTTAAAGTGCATTCAACGAGAAATATTGGTAGGGTAGAGCGCTACTTCGTCGTAATCACCCATTTCCGTTCTATCGATCAGAAAAGATCAATAATATCAATGATTTCACCGTACACAAATCAATAATAGGTTTGTTCCGATGCGTTAGTTCATTAGCTACAACATAAATCCTGTTAGAGCGCATTGTATGAATATTTAGGACGGAAATTAGATAAAAAAAAACCCTATAATCAGTTTATTTATCAAAGGTATCAGTGAACATTATTCAACGGTTCCCTAATAAAAATAACCATAAACGAACAATAACCCAAATAATAGAACTATTCCACACATGGTTTGGATGATACCCGGAACACGTCGTTAAGCAAAATAACAATAACAATTTATTAGGGTTTGCAAAAGCAAACTTTAAATTAAGTAATTTAAAGTTAGTAATTGATGAAAGCAACGAGTTCAGGTTTTGTTACAAGTCACAAGTTACCTACAGCATTTTTGAATAAAATAAAACAAAAATGTCTATCAAATTTCCGGATACTTTTAATTTTCGGTTAATAGTAATAACAAGCATATGTAAATTCTCCTTAAATTTAAATGTCTTGAACATTGCTTAAACTACCTATTCAAATTAAATGATACATTCAAAAATCTGCTTATCCAGTCCAACGCCAAATACAATCGGCAATTGCAGATATTATTAACCAATTTAATATTCGAACGTTAATGATAAATCTCAGATCGTATACGTACTTCCACAGATTGTTGACACCGTTAAGACATATTTTTTTACGGTATAAGCACACCGCGTCAATACTATTATCGCTGAATCACGTTCTCCTGTAATCAAACAGAGTCCACTAGAAGTTTAATCCATACTGTATCGGCACTCAGAACAATCTAAACAGTTTTCATTTATTCCTTTTAAATCCTTGCTGGCCACTTGTTTTCTTAACACGAAAAAATATCCGTTTCCAAAAGTAAAGCGAAGCATGAATGTCATCTAGAGTACATGTACATATACGACTTGATTGACTTTTTAATAAATGTCTAATCGCGGTAACACGAGTGTTGCAACTGAAGACAAAATTCTCCATAAGGTAACAAAACAGAACATAGCATGGTAAAAATACACTCAGGTGGCTTGGAAACAATAGAACACCGCATCTGAAATAATACAACAATGAAAGAGGGCTGTTCTATTTTACCCCTATCTTACATTGTTATGTCGGATATATTTACAAGTGGGCGTTGCTATTACCCTATCGACACACTCCGGCCAATCGGACGCATGCGCATGCTTTGCGTTCATTCTCTCAGAATATGTATCTACTTGGATCACTGTTGGATGTTTAGCTGCAAGATAACTCACGCATACCATTGAATCGGCATGCGTTTTAAGGCAATCGATACATCTTGAATGTGTGCTGAAAGGAAAAACTGTTCGATTACAGTGGTGTATACATCAAAATAAACGTTTTGCTCAATACAGTCAAAAGATAAGAGGTGGAAATGAAATGGGATGACAAACTGATTGGTCGAAATATATAATTCAAATGTTATGCTAATGAAAAAGAAAACAACAGAACTATTCAGCAGTCACATATCGGTCATGCGTAAGAGCGAGTAGGACAGAACACAAAACCGGAAATCAAAAGGAAATTTCATCATGTGGCAATAACAGCAGCGGCAGCAGTCCTAAGATAACCAAAAAGGATTTAGAACCGGAAAATTTAATACAAACAATCTCACGTGTGTGCACAACATAAAAACAGCCTTTAGTTTTACACCCCAGGAAACTAACGCGCCCGTTTGAACACTTGATAGTTCAAAAGAGCATTTGTTACGTGCTGTTCACATTGATTCATGATGTTTGCATGTTATTTTCTAGGATTATACGACATTTTCCCGAAAACAGGCACTCAAAATTTTCCCCGAAAGTAACGTTTCCCCCAAAAATGTATTCGGCGAACGGACATAATTGGATATATGTAAGGTAATGACTCTTATATTTAACCTCCTTATATTCAAAAGCATTATGTAAACTTTTATCATATCATTCAGTGTGGCACGGTATATGTGAATTAGTTCTACAATGATATACATTTGATTTGCTGGCTTAATTAATTTGGATAACTTAAGATTCAAAGAAAATAAATGCAGTCAATTCAATCCAGTCGAACGCATAGTGTAAATATCTTCATCTTATATAACTGGAACTTTATGCCTGCCTTCTCTAAGTAATAATGTTAGCGTTCTTTTACATTTATAGTTGTTAAACTGATTGAGAGTTTACCAATCGTGTTTCGTATTTTTGAGAACAAAAGCAAAAAAAAGTAGGGGATATATACGAGACACGACAGCGTTTTAAATCAACACATTTAAAATTCAATTTCGTTGTTTCAAGGTTAATACTTTGCAAAAGAGCTATCCCCGTTTACCAGAACCCATTTCATGAAGTTCTTCTCCGCAACTTTTAAACTACAATTCTAATTTGTGTTGTTATTAGGATTAGGTACTTTAAATTGAAGTTTACTTTAGTTAATGCTTGTAAAACATGTTTGAAATTGTCAAGGGAAGGATTTTTCAAACGAGACTATTCTTTCAGATTAATTATCCCATAGACTGAAATAATTTTAAAGCGGTGTTAGAGCAGATAAGTACGAGGGACTCTGAAGGGTCAAATTGAACTTAAATATTTATTTATTTAAACTTCATTGTAATGATAAATTGAAATATGTATGCCTCCAAAATCATTGTGATGAACACTCGTGTCAATTAGTTCATATTTATTTCGTATATATAGACTACATACAAAGGTTACCATGTTTTACTTACATGCTATGCATAATTTTCATGATGTTTTAGTCGGTTTTTAATTTGTCTTTTTGACAGTGATCGTAATGACTTCGCAATGGTTGCTGGTAGTGCAAATTTTTAAAAGTAATTCATACACCCAACCGGTGGATGTAAGATTCGCTTACAATTATGTGGGATTCATCATCAGAGGATGTAAGTGGAGACCGCATGAACCGAGGATGCGATATACCTAGCTGCGGTCCGATGTAAGAAAATTGGAGACCGAAAAATGTGGAGTGTATTAGTGAGTGAAATTAATTATGTCGAAAAAAATAGCAAAAAGGTTGCCGACTGGACTCAAAGAACCACGGACGTTGCGACTATCAGACCTGTGCTTTCTCCACTGCTCTCTCTATGCGTCTGAATATGGTCAGCCTAAAAGCAAACATGAAGCGCTCATTTTCTCGCATGCTCGACTTCGTATGCTTTTTCTGCTGGAGAGATTCGAGTTAAGTGTGTGCGTCGTTCTACAATGTTCTACAATGTGCGTCGTTCTACAAGCTTACTGGTACCTATAGTCGAAAGCGTAGATGCAACACGAAATAAAAATGCTCGACTTCGTATGCTTTTTCTGCTGGAGAGATTCGAGACAAGTGTGTGCGTCGTTCTACAATGTTCTACAATGTACGTCGTTCTACAAGCTTACTGGTATAGTCGAAACCGTAGATGGAACACGAAATAAAAAAAGACAAAAAACCATTACATCGCCTGCATGGTCAATTTCTAACATTCGTTGCGATGTTCATGAACAGAGGATGATAGGAAACGGAACTAACATTAATTGTAATAGATTTTTGGTTTGCGTGTATGTTGGCAAGTTGATTAATTTTGGTTTCCTCCCTAGATATTCTACTTATTTTATTGTTGAGCTTTGTTTCAATTTAGTTATTTTACCGCACGTATCAATCATTTCAAGATTTCGCGACCGTACCGAACAAATTCTATACTACAGAAGCTCAAAAAACTTTTGGTGAGCTCTACCGCATTGCGAATCACTTCTGCGTAAGCTCCGTAGACGTAGGCGCGTTGATTCCGACAGCCGCCAAAAGTTAAACATGCATCAATACCACATAAGGAAAGATCGATTTTACGTATGGTTTAGTTCATAGATTAACATTGACTGCTGTTTAAAAATGTAAGTACTTGAACACTAAGAAATAAGTTAACTCAAATGCTTTAACCGCATATATAAGAGATTTCGCGTATTGAGAGAATAATATAGTAATCGAGTACAACAAACTCAGGGGAATACAATACCTCCAAAAGTTTAAAAGCTATTAATTGTCACAAACCTCTACTTTTACTTATTTCCTAAACTATTCCTTAATCTGCTTAATGCTATTGGTCTGCCTGCGTTTTCTTTTTAAAGTTCAAGACTAAATAAGAAGATTTATTCTCCAACTTTAAAGGTTAGTTGCCTCCCTAAGTGGACCCCCTCATCCTAATTCTTTTGTTAATCTACTTAATGTCATTAGACTCTCTGAAGTTTCTTATTAAAGTTTTTTTTTTTAATGATTATGATATCTCATTAGTCCAATTTAATAAATTATTAAAGCTCTAATTCACCTAATCAATCATAACCCATGCTTTTTAAATACCTGCACTTGTGCTTGTAATCTAAAATTAAACGTGTTTCAAGTACTTTTGATTTATGCCTATACCTATTTATTATATCTTAGTTCGACCCAGGTAACACCTTCATGTGACTAAAATGCTTAATTTTGAAGTTAGTTTCCTAGCTGATTTTTAAATTATATAGGGTATATGCTCCAACAATGCTCACACACTTCCACTATGTCGCACAACAAAAATACGTATGGGTATGTCACAATAGAAGCACGCCACAGTGGAAATCCCGAGCCATAGTTCAAACACTTATCCCAAATCAAAATGAAGCACTTAAAAGATTAGTTACAATACCATGTACAAAAATGATGTTTAACATTGTTTTCTGAGTAATATTTCAATGAAAACAACAATGAAAGTTTGTCACGCAAATAGAAGGAGCACTGTTGGGCACTTTCTGAAATATTTCAATAGTATAATTCCCTTACAAACACAAATAAATCTATCTGCGTAAAAATACATAAAATAAGAGTATCACACCCAACGTTAGTTTAGTTTAAGTGTCCTGAGCGCCATCCCTGGCGCAAAGGGCCAACGTGAAAGATCTCCATCCTGGGCGATTGTTTGCTTTCGCCTTGACCTGGGCCCAGGTCAAATTCCGGTCGACTTGCTTAATCTCCTTGTTTAGGCTTCGCCGCCATGAGCCCCTGGGTCTGCCTCTGCTGCGATGTCCGGCTGGATTCCAATCCAGCGCTTGTTTGCAGATTTCATTTCCGCTCTTCCGTAGAGTGTGACCAACCCACCTCCACTTACGTTCCCGAATTTCTGTCGATATCGGCTTCTGGTGACACCGTCGATGGAGCTCGGCATTCGAAATCCAGTTGTGAGGCCACCAAGCACGAATTATATACCGCAGGCATCGGTTGATGAACACCTGCAGCTTCTGTGTGATCTCCGCTGATACGCACCATGTTTCGCTAGCGTACAGCAGTACAGATTTCACGTTAGAGTTGAAAATTCGGATCTTCGTGCGGAGACTAATCTGATTTGACTTCCAGATGTTTCGTAAACTCGCAAAAGCAGCCCTTGCCTTCTTGATCCGTGCACCTATGTCACTCTTGGTTCCGCCGTCCGACGCTATCTGGCTGCCAAGATATTGAAAACTTTCAACCTTCTCCACTTCCTGACCAGCTACCGTAAAATTGGATGGATTTCCCGTGTTGATATCCAACGATTTAGTCTTGCTGACGTTGATGTTGAGACCTGCCGCTGAGGAGCGTTCGGCGAGATCGTCGAGCTTACTCTGCATGTCAGAACGCCGTTGTGATACTAAAGCAACGTCATCCGCCAAATCTAGGTCGTTTAGATGCTCCATTGTAATAGGCTGCCAGAGCAACCCACGGTTCGGCACACGGTCGATCGCACCAACCATTATCTCGTCGATTACGATGAGGAACAGTAGCGGTGATAGAATACATCCTTGCCTCACTCCAGCGACTACCCGAATAGGGTCAGATAGGGCTCCGTTGTGCAACACCCTGCACGTGAAAGCCTCATACTGAGCTTCGATGAGGTTGACGATTTTATCCGGAACTCCCTTGCGCCTTAGGGCGCCCCACAGGTTTTCGT